CCCTCTCGGAGGCAGGGTCTCCCAGGGGGGAGGGGACCCTCACACGCTGCAGCGTTTTGGGTGCTACTCCCAGGGACTGGAGGAGCCCACCCGTGGCCTGGCCCACAGGCCTGGGGCCGAGCGAGCTTCGGGTGTGACGGGAGGGGACTTCCATGTCACAGTTTGGGGCGCGGGCACCCGGGGGGGCCGGTTCGCACCGATACAGGTCTTCTGGTCCTTGTCTAGCTCGTAGCCGCGGGGGCAGGTGCACAGGGGCCCCGCGCTGCTGTGGCTGCAGCCGTGGGAGCAGCCGCCGTTGTTGGCCTCGCAGCTGTTCACAATCTCCATGTCGATTCCTGAGAGGACACCCACCCCGGGGACCTGGGACGGGGTCTGGGTGACACCCCACCCCACCACCGATCCCGGTCTGCCCTGACCAAGCAGCCAGCCGGAGACCCCCGGGTCCGCTCTGCTGGGAAACAGGCCGCATGGAGCCCCTGGGCAGGTTGGGCTCTGAACCCCCCCGCCCCACCNCCAGCACTGTCCTTGATTGACAAGGAAGCGTGGCCAAAGCACTCCGCGGCGCCCGTGCCCACCACCCACTGCCCACTCACGGTAGCACTGCCGACCATCGGCCCCCAGCTCGTAGCCTGCGTGGCACACACACTTAAAGGACCCTCGGGTGTTGAGGCAGCCGTGGGAGCACTGGGCCAGCCCCGCGGCACATTCATCCACGTCTGGGTGAGAGAGATGGGTGGGGGGCTCTGGGCGCTGGCCTGGGAGACATACCCCCAGGGGTGGTGCCTTCACGTGAAGGACACTTGCCACGGGTAGGGCTCAGGGTCCTTGTGCCAGGAGGGTGCCACCCCATGCCCTTTCCCGCCTTCCCATTCCGTGGCCCCAGGCCAGGCTGGCCCCTCTGAGCTTCTCCCGGGGCAGGGAGGGTGTGGTTGAAAGTCTACACTCCGGGGCCCCATTGCCGAGCTCAGGCCCTGCCAGCTGCTTGGGGTCAGTCTCTCAGCTGTGCCCGCCCCACTCTCACCAAGCCAGGGTCCGGCCCGGGAGGGGCCTGTACACTCCCGCCTCTGGGGCCAGCAGGAGAAAACGCCCACCTGCTGACTGCCCATCAGGACCAGAGCCCCAGGGTCCCCGGCCACCGCCTTGGTCACGCCCCATAATTCCTCAGGATGAAGGTGACACTCATCCCTGTGTCCCACTGAGCCCGCGACATTGACAGACGCCTGAGCCCTCCTTCCCAGGGCTCCACCTGCTGCCCCTCCCCAAGGCTGCCCTGCAGGCGCCTGTCACAGGAAGGAGGGGGGACACCCGAAAGTCCGGGGAGGGGCAACTAACCGACCAACAAAGTGCAGCGCCCCCGGGGGCCCCTGCAGCCTGGGGTGGGGCGCGTTCTAGAGAGGGGCACCCAGTGAAACCAAGACCGCCGGAGACCAGCGGGTGAGCCGCCACCCGGGTTCAGGCCGGGGCTTCCCCTTTACCCTTCCTCTTCTAACTCTCTAAGGAGCAGGTCTCGCTTGGTGACACCAGAAATGTTTACACACAAAACAGAGCCTGAGGTCGGACAATTGCTGCCCAAATGAGGCTCAGGTCGGAAGCAGCCCCTTGGGTGTGTTCCTGCCCCCCCC